ATTTGTATCGTAAGTATTAGGGTTATTATTGTTATCATTATTATTATTCTTGTTGTTGTTGTTATTAATATCATGTAAATTTTTCGCTCACTCTCAAGGTCTCGAATCTCATGACCCTGTGATGATCGTGGCTGCCAGCGCCCTCTGTGTTCTTATCGCTCTTACTGTCGTCAACGCGCTAATGAAGGTGCGCATGCGTCGTCCTCGTCCCGAGCAGATTGGCTATCGCAGAGTGGGCGTTGCTGAGCAGGACTATTAACGCATGAAGAAAGAGATAAAAAGAAGAAGTAGAAGAATAAATCCCATTGAATGGAGTAGAGTGACAAGTATAATTTGAAAGTGCCATAGCTCCTCTTTGCACGGAATCATTATGAATATTCGTTGTTTATCTCCGAACTTGTGTTGATAAAGAAACCTCTGAAATAGGGGAACCTTTGGATTCAAATATCAAGATAAACGCTATGATTTTTAATTAATGCAGCCTCTTGATGAAGGATATCTTATTGGTGATCTTAAATTTAGGAGCGTGACATGTGCTTTGTTTCTTCTTCATTTTGCCCGTAAAACTTAGATTTTGTGTGATAGCCAAACAAATATATATAAGATACCTTTAGCTAGAAGTACGAAGCCTAAAATTAATGCATATACACCTGTATGAGTATGTGTTCTATGCTTTACCTTACATTTCTAGACAGATCTTCTCAAACTAAGTTTTGATTTTTTTTTTCTTCTTTCATTTAATATTCGTGATGTTGTAGTCTAGTTTGACAGATTTGAGACGGTGACATGTGCTTGTTTCATTATTTTTTTTGCACATGAAACTTTGGTGTTTTGTGATAGCCAAACAGAAATAAAGATACGTACCTTTAGCTGGCAGTAGAAAGCCGAAAATAAATTCATATACACCTGTATTAATAGGTGTTTTATGATATTCCATATATTTCTAGATAGATCTCCTCTAACTTAGATTTTTCTTCTTTCATTTAATATTCATTATGTTTTACTTACGTATTTAGTTGCTTTTTGTTTCATCTTCCATTTCAATAATGGCAGAATCTCTTAATAGTTGCTCCTTATCTCAGAAGAAAATAATTAATTTGCTCTTTTTGTTGGTATTAGCAGTGCGTAGGACTGTAAATGTTCCAATTTTGTTCTTTCTTGTTGTGTTTTGCTTCTGTTAAGTATAACTCGATCGCAAATACTTTCGAGAAATTAACTCAAAGCGCCTTTCGAGATCAAGTTCAGATTTTGTAATAATGTCCTTGTAATGTTCGTACACTCTAAAGGTGATGCACAGGCCCAGGGCTATTGAAATCGCTCTAGGTTGATTTCTCGAAATTCTGTGCGCTCGTGTTGCATGTAGATCTTTCAGATAGGCTATAGAAATTGATATTGAAGGTAAAATGGATTGCCTTTTCATATGTGTTTACTTCGGTGCAATATGATGGGTTCTATTTTTCTGACCATTATCTGACGTCAAGTCTATCTTTTTTCGTCAACTTTCATTGAAATCGAAAATAAAATAAATTAAGATTATTCAAGAACGAAGATGTTTTCCATTCTTCTATTGATTAAATATATGTCATAATTATGTCTCGTTGAGCTCGTTTCTTAAACATGCTCTCACCATAATACTGGTGTGTACTTCATTATCATTTTAGTCAACATCGGAGTATTCTTGTCCAGAAACCTAGGTTTTTATTACTGTGCCTCCAGCACGAGAGGTGACAACTTTAGCATCATATTTTGGCCATTGATCCGTTCATTAACTGTTTTTTTAATCTCCACACTATTTGCTAATGTTACCTAACTTGTAGCCATGGTTAAACATTTTCCCACATGATTTGAAAACCTACACTGATTTTTGGATTGGCAATCTCTTCATACCGTACTATTGTTCAACCGAATGATTGAAGTAAAATAACAGCTATCGTGCAATAAGTCGTCATTTATATCTCAGACTAAATGCATGTATTTGTTTTGTCACACAATAATGATGTATACGGAATGGAGAACTATATTCTTTGTGCTTCCGTCATCAGGGGACTACTCTATTTAAAGCAGAGAAGTGGAAATCCATTATTTTACGATTTATATTAGCAATCACTTCGTTAAGAGTTGAATCCAACCCGAATTATACTAGGAATCTCCTCCAATGTAGAGAATTAAAGTACTCTATTTAGAGTGAATCTTGAGTGTGGATTTTCACTCCTGTATTTAGAGAGCAGGTTAGGTCATGATTGATGTAGCCCTCTTTCAAAAATGAGACCTTCATGTTAAGAGGTGGGATTGTTTTCGTTTGATTGGCTATATTTTCTTAAATATTTCACTTATTGCTAAAGGAAATGTATTCACTCCTTATTTTACTTAGGCCTATACCATAAATAAATGTATTCATTACTTCACATTCCTTATCTAATTAAGCTACTTTTAACCACCTTTCTTCAATTTTTCTCTTGAAATATGTACTAAGGCATAGTTATTGGTTAATTAAAGAATGTTCTACCTAAAACTGTGGTATGTCTTTATTAATGTATGTACTTGAAGCAGACCTATCCCCTTATTCCCCCCTCTCTCTCTCTCTCTTTCTTTCTCTCTCTATTTCTCACTCTAGCTCTATTTCTCTTTCTCTCTCTCTCTCTCTCTCTCTCTCTCAATCCTTTAAACTCAATCTCTTCCCCTTTCTCTCTCAACCATCTTTTCCATGTTTCCTTCTACCCCTCTTTTACTTCAACTTGCTTTCTCCCCCTCTATGCCCCTCCCCCTCTCTCGCTCTCTCTATACATATATATAAAAGTGTGATAATTCTCAACTCTGACTTTTGCTATGTTCATGATGCTTGAGTGCTTGACTATGATTGAGTGATATCGAGTTTGTATGCCATGTATATTTGTTCATTCAATGTATTTGTTTTTGTATGTGTTTGCACTTCAGAACCTGAAGAAGGCCTCACAATCCGAAAGCTCGTAATAAAATGTTTAAGTACAGCTACGTCTCACGTTCCGAGACCATTTTCTTCACGCCTATATATATATCCTTAACATAATTTTCTGAATACTGAATTAGAGGTATTTCAACCCGCTAATGACCTTTCAGCATCGACTTTTTCGGATCCAATATCCCAGTTTGTACATAAATCTGTACATGGGCAGTTCATGTTTATTTGTACAAAAGTTAAAATATCTGTATGTTTGAGGTGATTTAAAACCATGTGCTAATTACGAACTGGTCTACACATTATTATAAACAGACCGATTTAATTGTTGATGTTTATGTGTTACCAATCCTTTCTCAACTTATATCTCAATCATATAAATGAGAACGCTACCAGTCTACTCATCATAATAAAATATCCTCCTATTATAATGATCTCATCCCCCTACCCGTATCATCCAAATCTCTTTTCAAATTCATCAACAACTCTAGCATTTGAAACACCTTTCCTCGTACTGGAAAATATACATTTGCAATGTATCATAATTTCTAAATCCTGTTGAATATCTTCCATTGGAATGTATCTTCCGATTTGATCTACAATTAAAGAAAGAACCTTCAAATCTAAATGTGAATGAATCAACACAAGAACACCTATACTGTGTAAAGTACCATGACTTTAATAAAAGACAACTTCCATCCCACATTAAACTCCATATATTTCTTGCAACATAATATCTGCATTTTATCCTTGCACTCAGATAATATCTGGGATCTTTTGTTCTTTTCCCTGATTCCTTTTTCCTTTAAGGAAAGAAACGTATAAGAAAGGATAGATTGTTAAAATCCATCACTTTAACAATAATAAATTCCGAAAACTTGTCTTTGGAGGACAGTGACATCACAATCACGAACCATAATATTGTCTGCTGAATGGAACACAAAATAAAGGTGATATTTAAGTAGTTGCAGTCCACCGAAGAAGATCCATAAAGAAAATTGAAGTGAACCTTATTTTTGTAATACTACGACAAATCAAATACAAAGACATCCACGTGCACCCAGACCAGAACAGACAACCGATAAAATTATGGGCAGTGGCCAAAAATAAATCAGTTTGGACTCTTTAGAGTCGGTACAAAGTCGGTTTGCCAGTGTGACTGAGGTATTAATCATACCTCGAAAACCGACTTGAAATCGACCGATTCTCGACGATTCGGGGCAATGTAATAGTGTGCCCGGTCTGTTGACGGTCTGGCGTCTTCTATCAGTTGAACCACCCATGAATCAAAATTTGTCTATTTTATTTGTAAAACTCATTCTCAAGATATAGGATGATAGTCGATTTTTGTTTACTAAACAAAATTCTGAGAATGTATTCAATATGAGAATAATGAAAGTTTTGAAATTTTGAGCAAAGGGCTCGAGTATTAAGTGCATATGTGCATGGAAAGAGACTAAATACTTAGCACTCTGTAAGCATCTTATAACGCTTACTATTGATGGAGATACACTGACAAATTTGGTTTATATCCTGCAAATTCTATATAAATGAAACGAGTACTCTACATCAACAGGTTACATCGTTACACACGTAGAGTGTTAAAGAAAAGCGATGATAGAGATCGTATTCTTTTTCCTTTCTCTGTCCCTTTCGTCATTTTAACTTTTTCCTGTTTTCTCTCATATTTCTTAGTATTCGATGTGTCTGAGTGTGTGTGTTTGTGTGCGTGGGGGAAAGGGCAGGTCACCCTTGCACTGGTTATGGATGAGGCGTAATGAAATATTGATCCGCCATGTTCTTTTTCTATCTCGCAGATCTAAAACCAGGTATATTTCAGGCCCAAAAAAAGATACAGAGAAATGGCAAGGCAATACGCAGTACGGTAATGTAGGCAGACTTCTAAAGCCGAATACGGATCTGAATGCAAAGTCCAATTCATAGAATGCTTTCATACAATCACGCTTGAATGTTCCTTCAGAATAGACCAAATATCATCACTACTAAAGGGTACGGGCTATTTTACACAGTAGTTCAATGTTACATTGCAATAAGTCACATGGTGTTTGGAGAGCACGGTGATATATTATCATCAAGAGAAAAACGTTGTGGGTGTGAATTGCGTTAAACATGGCGCTGTTTTCAGCAGCAGCAAAAGGAGACGTCCTGAAGATACAATCATTAATCGACTCCGAAGACAAGTCAGAGGATTCGGGAGGAGTTGATGTAAACTGCTCGGATGTGTCTGGCAAGACGCCCCTCCACATTGCCGCGGAAAACGGACATTTGCAATCGGTTAAATGCCTAACAAATCATGGAGCAAAAGTGAATGTTGTCGATGCTAACCTACAGACATCGGTTCACTTATGCTCAAAGAAAGGCCATCTTCATGTGGTAGAGCTGTTAGTGGACGAAGGAGCAGATATTAAAATTGGCGACAAAGATGGGTTTACAGCTCTTCAAATAGCATCATTCAAGGGTCATGTTGATATTGTCAAATACCTTGTTAGCAAAGGGGCACAGCTTGAAAAATGTGACAAGAAAGGCAGGACACCCTTGTCGTGTGCTTCTCAAAAAGGCCACCTTGAAGTCGTCGAGTATATCGTGAACAAAGGAGCAGACATTGAAATTGGTGATAAAGATGGGGTTACAGCTCTTCATAAAGCATCATTCAATGGTCATCTTGATATTGTCAAATACCTTGGTAGGAAAGGGGCACAGCTTGACAAACGTGACAAAAACGACCGGACACCCTTGTATTGGGCTTCCGCAGAAGGCCATCTTGAAGTCGTCCAGTTTCTTGTGAACGAAGGAGCAGGCATTAAAATTGGTGATAAATATGGGGTTACAGCTCTCCACAGAGCATCATTCAAGGGTCATGTTGATATTGTCAAATATCTTGTTAGCAAAGGGGCACAGCTTGACAAATTGGACAAAAACGGCAGGACACCCTTGTCTGGTGCTTCTCAAGAAGGCCATCTTGAAGTCGTCGAGTATATCGTGAACAATGGAGCAGGCATTGAAATTGGTGATAAAGATGGGTTTACGGCTCTTTACATAGCATCATTCAATGGTCATCTTGATATTGTCAAATACCTTGTTAGGAAAGGGGCACAGCTTGACAAATGTGACAAGAACGACAGGACACCCTTGTATTGTGCTTCTCAAGAAGGCCGTCTTGAAGTCGTCGAGTATATCGTGAACGAAGGAGCAGGCATTGAAATTGGTGATAAAGATGGGTTTACGGCTCTTTACATAGCATCATTCAATGGTCATCTTGATATTGTCAAATACCTTGTTAGGAAAGGGGCACAGCTTGACAAATGTGACAAGAACGACAGGACACCCTTGTATTGTGCTTCTCAAGAAGGCCGTCTTGAAGTCGTCGAGTATATCGTGAACAAAGGAGCAGACATTGAAATTGGTGATAAAGATGGGGTTACAGCTCTTCATATAGCATCATTCAATGGCCATCATGATATTGTCAAATACCTTGGTAGGAAAGGGGCACAGCTTGACAAATGTGACAAAAACGACCGGACACCCTTGTATTGGGCTTCCGCAGAAGGCCATCTTGAAGTCGTCGAGTTTCTTGTGAACGAAGGAGCAGGCATTGAAATTGGTGATAAATATGGGGTTACAGCTCTCCACAGAGCATCATTCAAGGGTCATCTTGATATTGTCAAATACCTTGTTATGAAAGGGGCACAGCTTGACAAATGTGACAAAAGCGAAAGGATACCCTTGTTTTGTGCTTCTCAAGAAGGCCATCTTGAAGTTGTCGAGTATATCGTGAACGAAGGAGCAGGCATTGAAATTGGTGATAAAGATGGAGTTACAGCTCTCCACAGAGCATCATTGGAGGGTCATCTTGATATTGTCAAATACCTTGTTATGAAAGGGGCACAGCTTGACAAATGTGACAAAAGCGAAAGGACACCCTTGTTTTGTGCTTCTCAAGAAGGCCATCTTGAAGTTGTCGAGTATATCGTGAACGAAGGAGCAGGCATTGAAATTGGTGATAAAGATGGGGTTACAGCTCTTTACATAGCATCATTCAATGGTCATCTTGATATTGTCAAATACCTTGTTATGAAAGGGGCACAGCTTGACAAATGTGACAAGAAAGGCAGGACACCCTTGTCTTGTGCTTCTCAAAAAGGCCACCTTGAAGTCGTCGAGTATATCGTGAACAAAGGAGTAGACATTGAAATTGGAGATAAAGATGGGTTTACGGCTCTTTACATAGCATCATTCAATGGTCATCTTGATATTGTCAAATACCTTGTTATGAAAGGGGCACAGCTTGACAAATGTGACAAGAAAAGCAGGACACCCTTGTCTTGTGCTTCTCAAAAAGGCCACCTTGAAGTCGTCGAGTATATCGTGAACAAAGGAGCAGGCATTGAAATTGGTGATAAGGATGGGGTTACAGCTCTTTATAAAGCATCATTCAATGGTCATCTTGATATTGTCAAATACCTTGTTAGTAAAGGTGCAGACCCGGGGAAACTGGCTAATGAAGAGGACCACTATGACTACCTCCGCAGTACCTTTCGTGGTAAGGCTTTCCCTGCCTTCATGCCCCCATACTCCCGAACATACGATCCATATCGTACCAGTCCACAAGACATTTCTCGCTTCATGAGCAACACAAAAGAGACAATGAATATTAGTCTCGACGAGTGCAGCATCAAGGTTTCACTTTCACCAGACGATGTGGACAGAGCCAAATATATCACAGCAGAAGCATTGACAACCGTTCCACATGACTTAAACCTGGAAAAAGACGAAGTTATCATCTCAGTTGGGCTCAAGCTATCCCCTCCTGGTCTTCAGTTTAAAACTCCGGTGGAAGTCAGGGTCTCGCATAGCGCTATTTTCAGCAACCCAGACAAGGCAGAAATTGTGCTATACACCCGAAGAACTGGTAAGATCTTCCTATTACCATATATCCAATATTTCCATATAAATTCCTTTCTCTTATTGTGACAGTGCAGAGAGCCCTTGACTGCCACGACGAACCCATCACAATTATGACAGAGATCTTCACACAAAATTAATCCTTCCCTACTATTCTTGTTTTCATATGACCTCACTTCAATGATGATATTCCTTTCAGAATGTTCGTATTCACTTAGTTTTACTTGATAAACTTCTATTAGGATAGAAATTCACTTTATTTTTTTTCTTCAGTCTTTGTGTTTGAATAACTTGTGGTAAGATCGTGGTAAATTGTGGAAATTAAACAAACAAAGATTATGAATGATCTAATACATGAAATTGTTTGTTAATAGCCAATCACCAAACAGCAGTTGACATTTTTAACGACATTGCTCATAAATAAACAATGACCCTCAAACAAAGCTTCCCAGTCAATCTGCGAACCTTACACAAAATACTTTCCTTTCTTTGTTATACTAAATCCCTGAGCGTTGACAGTTTACCGCGTAATGGAGCTCTCACACTCTGCCGTGTAGGCCTACCGTCCACCTGCCGGGCTATTAAAAAAAAAAACAGAGTCCAGAACGTTGGGTTTTGAGCGAACTTGTCCCCGGCCGCAACAAAAAAAATTCATAAAATTAATCTTTTCACCGTTTCGTTGCCATCTTCTGACCGTTCTCACCGGGCGCATGCCGGGTGTTGAACGTGCTTCTACCGTCTTCACCGCCCAGATTGACTTTTGTTGACAATTTTGGCCGTTTCCATACCGGGCCCATACCGGGTCTCGAACGTGTGCACCGGGTTTGTAGCAGCCACCTACCAGTCACTTAGCGTCCCCTCACCGCTCGGAGCGTCCTGTGAGCGAGTCCCCGGACTGCTGACGTCATGACACGACTGCCATAAATACCCCGATTTGAACGGCAACGGTCAGTCCGCTCTCCATTTTTCATCACCGTTCTGTAACGGGTTATGAGCATGTTGTGAACGTGTTCATACAGTGTGACCGTTTTCATAACGTATTCATACCGTCCTCATACCGTTCAACACCGTCCTCTTGCCGCTTACTTGCGGCCGGTGCCAGCCGGCCAAAGTTTTGAACATGCCCAAAACTTTCGCCGGGTCCCACCGGGTGTAAACAAGCGCCAACGCCCTATTAACGTGTTGCCCGCTTTGATAACGAACCACCGTGTGCCCTCGCCGTTCTCCACCGTCCGCATACATTTTTGAGCACGGTGGCACACGGTAGGCCTACACGGCAGAGTGTGAGAGTCACTTTACAAAATTAACACGGTCCCCTATTTGTTGTTGTTGTCGACAGAGTCTGATGAATTTTCAAGGATAGTTCCTGCTTCTGACAAAGCTGCTCGGTGTGTAGTCACAAAGAATCACCTTACTCTGTACTTAGGTCATTTCTCGGAATGGTGGATTATCTCCTTAATCAAGAGATACTTCATCGGTAAACGACTCATCTGTACGCCATACGTTCCCGTGTCAATATCCAGAGACGTCATGAACCCCATCTTGCTCGTCATTAAAGACGACTTCTACGGCATGAAAGAGGTAATTTTGTAACGGATTAACAGTCCGGTATATTTCTGGTCCATGTTATGTGTAATGATCTTTTTTCCTTCTCATTTCGTCACGAAACTTTCCAATCTTGCACATCTCATAGTCAATTTCGTATTTGGTCATTCATTTTCAGACTTTGTCCAATCGATTTCATCATTTTGCATCTAACTTCGTCAAAGTCAAATCAAGTTCATCATCCTTGGCTGCTAACGTACAATGCATGAAACAATTTTTTTCAGTTTGCAACCAATTTCGTTAGAGCATCATTCAAATACCTTATCCTACCCCCGGACAATTACCCCATAGGATAGTTGTCCGGGAGGTAGTTGTCCTAGAGGGTTGGTTTCCCTAGGGGGTAGTTGTCCTAGGGGTAGTTGTCCCAGGGGGTAGGTGTCCCAGAACCTCTGGCATTTGCTGGAGGTTCTTGCAGTGCCCTCTGGAAGAACAGCATTATCTCAAAGTTTTCTTATCATAATCTATTTTTAGTCTCCCCCCCCCCCAATTATTATCACTATTATTTTGTTTGATATTGATTCATATGTTCAATCTTTTGCAGGATATTATACAAGAGTACAAGGCAGCCTATCCTGGTGAGCAGTACTGTGTATATTGGAGACAAGGACCCCTACTTGTCAGACATCTGGAAAACGAAGACGAAGTGTCAACACAGGTAAGAATCTCAATATAATTGATACTATTGTTTCCCCCGAAATAAATTATCCTGACAAACAAATCGTCCGTTTCTTAGACAGCAGGGCGTAATATATATATTGTCACATTACCAAAGACACGGGCTAGAGCTTTCTTAAAGCGACACTGAACTGATGAACGTTCTGCCTAAGCGTTCTGTTCAGAGCCATCTTTTCACATATATAGATGGCTCTGGTTCTGTTCATTGCACAGCGCCATCTCATGGTCAATTTGCCAACATTGTGTAATCCAATACCTTGTTTCCGCTTCGCAGACAGAGGGCTAGACGCGATATCATTTCAGCGAGTTACGGGCACCGAACTGTGAAATACGTATTTCACTCTTTTTTGGTTACGGGACCATACTGCTACAGCTGACCCCAGATAGCGCTAGATGGGATTTTGTGGTAATGCTTTTAGTACACTGTGGCTTCCATTAACACGTTAGGCGGACCAATGCATGAAATTACTTTGCAGGATAAATTTTATCAGCAAAGCTGTTTTTATCATGGTCCTGATTGAAATACAATGAGACTATGTATGCAATAAATCACATTTAATATGTAGACCAAACAAAAATCATGATACCAAGTTAAGGGAAGTGTATCATGGGAAATACTGCAAAATGCCATCTACGTCTTTTTTTGGACAACTGCACGTGAATGCTGCGTTCGCGTCGTCCGTAATCGTATTAGGCGATTGGCCCCGAGTAGGGCCACGGGAAAGACACACAGTCTCGTCATGACACACTCCCTTTAAGCCAAGTAGCCTGCTCAGCGGCCGGGCAGCGGATTTTTCCCAAACATACAGGTTTGTATTTCCGGTCTTCTGATTGACTGATATGTTTTATTTTTACGTCATTAGCAGCTTGTAAAGATAGTTTACAAACAATTAGACTTTGATTATTTATAAAGGGAAAATATGACAAAATAATTACTAGGATTCGAACCCACAACTTTAATATTGTAGATAAAGACGTAAAATATATCAGCAAATCAGAAGACCGGAAATATTAGTAATAGCAAACCTGTTTAAAAGGGAAAAAATTGCGGCCGTATCCTAATGCACCAGCACGGCGGGGCGATCGAACATAAAAACATAGCGCTCCCTAGTTGACCTCCGAGCAACTTTGTGGTTCCTGGTCCAAACGGCGCAAATCTGCTGCGAAGAGACAAGGCCATCATTTCATTTCGAGTTGATAAACGCGACAAGCCGCAATTACGTTTGTATACTGTGTTTCTATACACTGTTGGTCATGAAGGTGGAATGATTTCGACAATTATTTATTCCTAATAGATCTAGATAATAGCATACATTCTCATGTGTTATTGAATAATAATTGGCGAGTGCTTGTTTTGCGTGACTGCTAAAGCATGTGTATGGTACTACTATTATCAACCAGGGGACCTACGTCCTTAAGTCATAACTGACATTAATGAGGATTAATGTCTCATAAAAGGGCACTAATATAGTACATCGACACGGTTTTGATCCTGGGGCCTCACAGTTACGAGGCCATTGCTTTGCCACTAAATCACTACTGTACGCAGCGGGGGCTAGGGAAGGGGGCAGCCCCCACAAATAAAAACAAAACAAAGAAAATGCAATAAATCATCAATAATTTATTGCATTTTCCCCCGGTCCCCAACAGGAAATTTTCCTGTGTGTGGCCATGCCTTGAACCATAATGCTTGGCCGAGCAGAGGAATTTTTCCTGTCAGGGACCGGGGAAAATGCAATGAATTAACGAGAATTGATTGCATTTTGGGGTTTTGTTTTTGTGTGGGCTGCCCCCTTTGTGTGGACTGCGTACAGTCATGATTCAGTGGCAAAGCAATGGCCTCGTAACCGTGGATCAAAAACCGTGGATCAAAACCGTGTCGATCAGCTATATTAGTGCCCTTTTGGGAGGCATTTATCCTCATTACCGTCAGTTATGACTTAAGGACATGAGAATGTATACTATTATCTACATCTAGTAGGAATAAATGTCAAAATTATTCCACAAATTGGGTTAAAAAGTAATATTCCACCTTCATGACCACAGTGTATATGTATGTAAACGCTGTTTCTGTGTTGAAGCGCTTATACGTGGTCTTGATGAGGTTACTTGGTTCTCGTTACAATATTATTTTAGAAAAAATTATTCAAACATGGGCCATAGGGGTTAGGCCCGACTAGCACATGTGCTATTATCTGGCCCCTTTTACCAACCAATAGTTTCTTTTCTTGTATATGTAAATTATTGTATGAAATGTATTGCTGTTGGTAAATAAATCAAATCAATCAATTGAATTCATGGTATCAAATTTAAATTAGCATGTACCATGACACAATTTCTGTAACTTCGTAGGATGTTAATTGATGGTTATCTCTGATTTTCCTAGGAACTTGAAGTACGTGCTTTCTTTGACATGACGACCAATCGGATGCCGTTCGCTCTTCAGCCACGTGAACAAATGGTATCCGGAGTTCTTGTCACGCTCATCTTGAAGCAAACAATCACGAAGCGTATCGCCTTCCAAGTACTGTACAGCGGTAATATCAAGGGCATGACTTCCCTTTTTGTTGGGGGGGGGGGGGGGGGGGTTGCAACCATGTTCCATTAGTCTGCCTTATTCAATATATATTTATATATGTCATATATATGTATATTGTGTTTACGTGCAGTGCTATACAGTTCATTTAGTGTAGCAAAAGTACCATGGCAAGTGACTCCAATTTGGAATAGTTATTATTTTATACTAATCGTTTCTCATCACGTTGATATCATGTATTCACAATTCAGATGTGCCGCATGAGAATCCAATTGCCAAATCAACTCCGACAGGAACTGCATCTTCCAAAGGCAAAGCTGAACCAACTGATGTTGGACGGGGAACATCCAAATGTAAGATTTAAAAAATATATATTAATATTATTTTTCCTTTTGATGTGCAGGGCATCGTTTTACAAAACCTTCGTGGGTACAAGTGAAAAATGTAGTGTATAAAATTAACACGTTTTAAAAGGGATGTCGGCGAGCTTGTTGCATATGAAAAAATCTCCTCATTGTAAAGAGACGATTTGAACAAAATCGAAAAAATAACATTATATTTGTGCTATTCTGATTCGATTCTGATTTGATTTTGATTGAACATTGCATTTTCAGCACATCAGCTCCACGAAGAGCAGACAAGAAGCGAGCATCATCTTGAAACGATAGGTTCAACATCACCTCAGCCTGCAGACACAAAGGGTAAGACTATATGTCCTGTCAGGAACGGTTCTGGAGGAATACATGTATAAATATTAAGTTATTTTTTGGAGGGCGCAGGGGATGGGGTCTTCTAGCAATCATTTATACATGTATTTTTGAGGGGGGGGGGGCTATAGAACCGCTACTGCAGCCTATATTCTTGTAATTGGCCTTTGTTTTAAATATCCTGTAATGTATTATCAATGTTTTTCTAAACCGTATAATATTTACTCTTTCAATTGAACAATATTCGCTACATGTTCCATGATTTTATCTCAATCATGTCACTAAACCAAATGAATACAATATAATTCAAGGGTCAACATGCGAAAGATAACGGATCAGTCAGAGTTCTTTACAGCACTGCATGGTCGGAGTCTGGTTTAATCGTTTTCTAAAACTTTTGTTTACGTTGCTTTATTTCAGACGGAAGTAGTCATACTGATGTCTTTACAAGACCTAGGCCGTTGATTCCACCATCGATAGAGTCACCGCCATGTGAACATGCCTACCAAGTAACAGAGACAGGAGCTATTGGTGAGGAGCTGAAAGGTAAGTCGTGTTCTTGGCTCTGCAACAAAAAAGTCAATTGTATCTCCCAAAAATTAATCCTATCTCCTCAATCAATCGAAACTTTAAGATAAATAGTTACTGATATAACGAAACCCTTTGGCAAAACATTAATCTATATATGCTACACTAAACCAATGTGTAATAAGTGGGTATGGTACCTGAAACGGTTGCTAGAACATAACCGGGGTTATACTATTTAAAGGGATACTTGAGTTATGTTTTCAGACCGCAGATGCTTTCAATGTGCATCGTTGTTGCTCTTATTCTTATGACATTTCTAGTGCCCTTTTAGAACCTTAAATTGCTATGAAGGTAATTTTAGACACCAAAATGTGTGAAATTTAGCCAATAATATCATACCAATTCAGCTCCACTTTCAAACAAATACGGTCACCGTTAATTAATTATTTAATTTAACGAAAACATTAATGGGCCGGCTGGTTGTGCGTTATATGACCAACACGAATATGCCAACAAAACAGCCAACATCGGCATTGGCTGTAATACGACGTAAAAGGTGCTATTTCGTTTTTTCAACGGCTTTTTCAAATTATCTAATATTTGTGGTGGCCACACAAATATTAGAAATCGTTATATTTATGAATATTTCAGCAGTCTCTGAACCGAATTTGATCGAACAAAGATGATTTTGTCATTTAAATTGTATTTTCTTTCAAATTTGACACTCAGTTTTTCATTATCTCACAACAAAATTATTTTGTGTAGCGCCATCTGCAACAGAACTCCCTTTAAAGTCCTTTAGAAGAGCATATTGTGATATCCGCTTAATATTTCCTTTACATGCTCTTTGGAAATTTGAAGTATGTAATTGCTTTACGTCATATCATCTTTTTGTTCGTTTTGTTTTAAGCTCCGACATCATCGACAGTGCCCGTCCATCCGGTAGAGCCTGCAGCAAAGAGGACAATGGGAGCCCCACCAGCAATTGTGGCAAACATTGTCCAAGAATTGGTTCCAGGACTTTCAGCAGATCGAAATATGCACCAGCGTCCTGGAAACGTCTATATCAACGTCAACAATATCAAAGTCATCAATAATTCCCAAGTGAATAATTCTCAAAGAAATACTGTTGCCCCTGTTCCAATTGTATCCATAGTACCTCCTATGCTACAGCATGAGCTGCGTTGCCGGTTGAACAGAGAAAGCCCAGTTTTTGATGACTGGAGGGGTCTTGCCAATCAGCTTGAACTTCAAGACTACATACAATCACTGGAGCAGTGCAAGAATCCGACTGAAGAACTACTCGTACTTGCAGAGAGTCAAAAGAAGATTCAGGACCTTGGGGACTTGTGTAAGGCGTTCGAACGTATGAATCGTGGAGATTGCCAAGAGCTCTGTGAAAAATATGCGTTTGAGAGAACAAAGTCAGCTGATCCTCGGAAGGATCAAATGGAAGATGATGACACGGAAACCAGTGATTAGGGAACAAACTCAATCTGTTCCATATCACCCTTAAATCCAGGGTCTATTGCTCGTTATTCATACAACCTATGAACATAGCCCTATATGGTTGTTGTAATCTACCAACTACCTGTCATTTGGTTTTAACAAACCAAATCATTAGATTTGCTCGAAACATAATAATTAAAGGTATACTATAAGGTCCGTATTCTCCTAATTCAGTTAAGTCCTATCCAGGGTCTAAAATCATGTTTGAAAGAAAACTGAGATCTTAGCCCAATTTTTTTTTGTAGACCACTTTTTTGACAAAAGTTTAAATCCAGCGTCGGGTTGAAATATTAGAACAATTCAGGCCTATAAAATTGACCAAATATATGTTTGTTGGGTAAATTATTACCACCCAATATTGCCAAAACCTTAGTCAATTATAAGTACATTATTATGATACTTATTATTATACAGATTATTGTGATACTTGGCACTTAACTGTTAATGCCAGCAAAACGAAAATTGTTGTTTTTTCACGTGGGAAAGTTAGAAGAATTCCAGAATTCGTTGATGATGGTGGTGTACTGGAAGTTGTTTATGACTTTGTATATTTAGGAGTGACGTTTAATTATAATGGTAACTTTAAAAAAGCAATTGCTAAACAGGTCACACAAGCTCGAAAGGCAATGTATAGTATGTTAGTAAAGGCAAAAGGTTGCATTTATCTGTTGATACACACTGTCATTTATTTGATCACTTAGTTTTGCCAATTCTATTATATGGTGCTGAGGTCTGGGGCTATGAGTGTATAGATCAACTTAAAGTTTTCCAAAGAATTTGTTTAAGAACGATATTGTTTGTAAATAAGTGCACACCTGACTGCATGGTTTATGGTGAAACTGGACGTGGTAAAATACTCGATAAAATTAAGTGTAGAATGATTGAATATTGGGTTAGACTAGATAAAGGGAAGCAATCAAAGTATTCATTGATTCTCTTTAAGTTTCTGTTGCAGTTGTAAAGTGAAGGACAAAGTTGAGTTAATATAAAGTCACAATGGGTTGAGTTTCTTGCAAACAGTTTTGACTATGCAGGACTTGGAAACGTCTGGCGAGCTCAAGGAGAAGGATATAATGCTGCCTGGATTATGAATACTATGAAAACCGGGCTTTCTGACATGTCTATTCAGGAATGGAGCGCAGCTACCTGGTCAAATCGTATTTGCACGAACTATAGGATGTTTAAGAATGAGTTGGTTTGTGAAAAATACCTGCAGATATTATGTCAGAAGGAAGCAATAATTTTAAGTAAATTTAGATGCAGAACACATAGATTACCAGTGAATAAAGGTAGATTTGATGCAAATGTCGTAGATGATGTGCAATGCTCACTCTGTACACCAACATATATTGGTGATGAATTGCATTACATTTTTGTATGTCCATTCTTTCAAAATAAGAGAAATATCTATATACCAAATAACTTGTGTGGTAGTAGCTTAAGACCAAGTGCATTGCACATGGATAGGTTTGTAATACAGCTCACGCTTGCCAGCTGAAGAAATTAGCCAATTTTTGTAGAATCATTATGTCATATTTTTCAACAGAGTCAAGGGTAGATGGTAATACTGTAAATGATAACTCACAAATAAGCAATGTTGTTGGGCACACTCGTAGTGGTAGGAGGGTGAATTGCCCAGTTCGCCTCGATTTGTAAATATGTTCATTTGTTCATATTATCACATGTTTATCATTGTTCATATTATCACATGTTTATTATTGTTCACATTATCACATGTTTATCACTGTTCATATTATCACATGTTTTTCTTTGTTCATATTATCTTATTATGTTATCAATTTTCATGTTATCACATGTTCATCATTGTTATACTATTGTTATATTGATACTATGTTGTAAATATGTTTGTACTCTCATACCCCGAGAGGGGGTCGATAGAGTCAATAAAATCTTACAATCAATCAAAGTACATTAATAATAAATAATAATAATATGGATATTTATATAGCGCCGGTATCCGCCAGGCTCTGACGCTCATGGCGCTGTACATACATGTATTACTATCACAAAAATATAACATTCTTAACTAAAATAAAGTAAACTAAAACAACACAAATTATTACGCTACATTGACATGATTAAATAGCACTGTTTAGAAAGAGATGGGTTTTTAGAGCAACTTTGAAGGCATGAAGGGTAGTTAAATTACGAATACTAAGTGGCAGCTTATTCCAAAGGGACGGACCAGAATGAGAAAAAGCTCTATCCCCCCAGGAACTGCGCGTCTTAGGGACAACTAATAAGGAGGATTGAGATGAACGAAGACGTCTTGTAGGCTTATACTTAACAATCAACTTGATATTGTAGGAAGGAGCAGAGTCATACAATGAATGGAAAACTAACAACAACAACTTAAAAATGATTCGGTCACATACCGGGAGCCAGTGAAGAGTTTTGAGAATGGGGGGATGTGGGTTCTACGAGAAGAAAGTGTGACAATACGTGCAGCAGTATTTTGCAGTTTCTGAAGTCGAGAAAGTTGTGTGTTAGGGAGTAGATAGAGAATAGAATTACAGAAATCTAAGCGTGATGAAATAAGAGCATGTACAAGTTTCTCTGTGGTTGAACGACTTAAGTATTTCCTAATAAAACCTAGATTTCTTAGTTGATATCTGACTGACTTACAAATACTAGAAACATGAGTTGACAATGACATAGACGAGTTTAACATGACACCAAGGTTACGACATTGCGAGGAAGGACTAATTACAGAATCTGATATGGATATATTGAACGACTGTATCTTAGCAAGATTTGATTTGGAACCCAATAAAATTAGTTCAGTTTTACTATCATTCAGTTTGAGTGAGTTCGAGTTCATCCAAGTTTGCACATCTTTGACGCAAGCTTCGAGTAGTTTGACAGTCCGACTTCCGTCATTTTGATTGGGAAGGAACGATGCGTAGATCTGGATGTCATCTGCATAGCAGTGATACTTGACATCATGCTGCTGTAAAACTTGCTTGAGCCTAGTGATGTACAAGGAAAACAGCAACGGCCCCCCGACTGACCCCTGCGGGACGCCACAACTGAGCTTGACAGGATCAGATCTTTCATGATTTACACATACCAATTGCTGCCGTTCATCCAAATAGGACATGAACCATTCAAGTGCGTGGTCACGAATTCCAATTGATGACAATACATTGACAAGAATACGATGGTCCACAGTATCAAATGCTGAAGACAGGTCTAATAACACGACTGCTGTGATCCTACCAACATCCATTTCTGTCAGGATGTTGTTGGTCAGGTTGACGAGCAGGGTCTCAACACTGTGATTTGCACGGTAAGCTGACTGGTGATTGTCAAGTAGATCATTCTCCTGTAGGTGATCATACAATCTAGAGAAGGCTACCCGCTCCAGAAGTTTCGACAAGTAGTGATACCCATTAGTGAGGAAACGTTTACCCTCTTGTAATATGCTTCGCTGCATCAATATTATTTACTTGCTTGCTTTTACAAGAACGAAGAAGTGAGATTCACTCTAGGCATATTCATCGATTTCATGAAAGCAATTTTGACACCATTAATCTAAATATACTACTAGCAAAACTCTCTAATCACGGCAATCGAGTTTAATCTTTTTTATGGTTTAAGGACTATCTTAGTAACAGATCTAGATTGTTCAACGTGGTTAAACGTTATCCATAAGATATAAGATAAGATGTGGTGTTCCACAAGGATCGTTACTAGGGCCAACTCTGTTTTTATCTATATAATTGATCTGCACTCATTAACTGATTACTTCAATTTGCGGCTGTTTGCCGAATATTCTAATATAATTCATTCTTTTCCAGCTCACCAGGGCAAAATTAATGAGGATGAAGTAATGAACAACACACAGAAAAATTGTTGCATTGCTAAAAAAAAAACTCAATTCAATGAAACCGTATTCCATTTTGATAAGTAGAAAGAGGTATTAAATGGTAAACTGGACGTAGCTGGAGAGGAAATCCAAGCGGTTGATGTTACCACTTATGATAGAAATCTGCCATGGAATAGTCATATTCGTTATGTAAATCAGTGTATCAGGTTTGCGATATTTTGTTCCTAGGCGTACTTTGACATTATCCATTATCAAATTAAACGTGGATAAAACCACACAGGTGTGGTGAAGCAACATAAGGTTATTAGCCTATTAAGAAGCATATTGTATTCACAGAAAATAGCAGTTCGTGCTTTTTTCATTTAGAGATAAAATTACTCATACAGCTCAACTACTTTCATGTTTGATCTGTTTAATAAAAGTTTGTCTCATATGTTGATATATAGTGTATAGAGTATATATAGAGTAAAGTTACTCCACAAGGCAAACAGAAGGTCAACAATTACGTCTGCCAAAATTTAGAACGACACATGGTCGATTTCCATTGTCTCTTGTGGTTAGTTACTTGATTACCTATAAATGTCAGACTAGGTTACAACACATTTGTTGAACAAATCATGAATCGAAAATCCATGCAAATAGTCTGTATGTGTACAACAATTATATTTAGTATTTTGTAAGACATTGTTAAAGTTATATATTTTGTATAGTATTGATTGCAATAGTACATTAATTTCTTTGTTTTTTTTTTCTTTTTCTGAGAGTTACTTGTACAAAATACATTGTTGAGCTGTGTATAAGGCGTTAGGGTCGACTAGCACATATGCTATTATCCGCCCAATTTACCAACCAATATTTTCTCTTCTTGTACATATAAATATCGTTGTATAAAATAAATGGTACGTATTTCCTTTTCGTAAATAAATCTATCAAATACAACAATCTAATAAAAATAATAAACATTGATATGATATAACCAGAAAAGTGATCTACATGTATATGGAAATGTATTAACATCAATTCAAAACACATCAAATTAAATGAATTCAACTTTTGAAGTATCTAAAAGGAACCACAGGTGTTAAATTGAACATTTTTTTAAAGATAATGAAAACAGCCAGTA